GGAGAATTTAGGGAATCTTTATATAAAATATTAAGGATAAAAATAAGAAGGTCTACAGCATACTACCTATAGACAGATGGACAAACTGAGAGAACCAAACAAGTGCTGGAAGGTTACTTGCGAACTTTCATCAACTATGATCAGAATGACTGGTACCAATTGCTATATCTAGATGCATATGCCTATAATAACTCAGCAACCAATACACATAGAATGACCTCTTTCTACGTAAACTATGGATTTCATCCACAAATAGAATAGATGAAGGAACACAAGGGGCAAAATCCAGAAGCTACACTTTATGCAAACTGGATAAAGATGATGTACAAGTAAGCAAGACAGTCACTCCAACAGACACGAGAGGCTATGGCCAAAGACTATAATAAAAAGGCCAAGCAACAACCTGACTTCAAAATCAGTGACAAAGTAATGTTAAGTGCACAGAATATTCATGCGTGTCAGAAGTCAAAGAAACTCAGGTCAAAATTATATGGATCAATTGTGATCTTAGAGAAATGAGGAAATCATACCTTCAAGCTCAACATTTTGGATTAATAGAACATACACTCAGTGTTCTATGTATCTCTGTTAGAACCTTACAGAGAGTCAGTACAGGCAAACTGACAATAACCTCCCCGAGAAACTGAGGATATTGAGGGTGACTTATAATGAGAAATAGAGAAAATCATAAGAAGCGAGATACGCTCTTACTGAATAAGAGTACACAGTCGCTACCAGGAGGTACGTAAATACTGCTACTTTGTTAAATAGCAATTGCTTTCCAAAGACAAGAACACATGGAAACCTGTCACAGGTATAAATAATGCAAGAGAAATAGTAGAAGAGTTCCACAGTGATAATCTTGAAATGCCATAATGGGCACAGGAAAGACGATGAAGAAAAAGGTTTTCCTACTATGGCCAAGCAAATGTGGAAGGTTTTTCAACCTGCTCTGATCAGGTCCTAAAGGAGCTAATGTTTATAGTTTAATGATTTAATATTTTAATTTTTAAATTATAATTTATTTTGTATGTACCCAAAAGGCATTCGGGATGAAGTCTTAAGTAGAGGGAGCTCATCTTAGGAATACCGGGATTTGATACCTAGGAATCATCCTAAGTAGGGTAACCTCACCCAGAATCGGAATTTCTGGTCTCCAACACCCCTATCCAGCCCTCTTGTTGGGCCTGCAAGTTATAATACATAGCAATCTCAGTGGCGTCCTGTGACTATAATACTACATAATTAAAGGTATCAGAATAACTCCATATACATTATCACTGTTCGTCCAACTGTATCCCGTTCACAGGGTATATGAGAGGGGAACTTCAGCTAAGAAGTGGAACGGAGTAAATCCGTCATCTATCCAGAGGATTACTAGGCTTTAAAGAGGCAACCTCTTTGGCATGAGCTGTAGCTAATGGGATGTTTTCGCAGGAAAAGATAGTATCAAATGGTAAAGAATCTGAACAAGAGACCAATATATTCGCATCCATCCTACAATAATCAGAAGAGTCTAGAACTTCGAAGGACATTACCAAAGAACCCACTAGACTTCATGGAGTGTTGCAACTAGGTTTAGAAATACATTGTAGTTGCGAGGATGACTCCCAATACTACAACAGCAATTGAAACCCTGTTACCCAGAGCAATCAAGGGTTATGGACTATGGGAATATTTGCCAATTTGGTGGAATAGCTTTCAACAAATTAGTAGAAAGTTCTCTGGAAGATATCTATCAGTTGGGCAAGGAGTTATGAAGGTTTGAAGTCAGGCAACCTAAAAAAGGTTGCAATTATGACTACCTTCCCAAAGGCAATCCATAGATGAAACTGATTATTTCATCAATGATGGAGATAATTGGGACTAACTCAGTTTAACTTGAGTACTAGGCCACAAGTCTAAAGACTCTAAGGATCAGATAACTACTATTGGGAACTATATAGTTCCTAGTTAGTTATATTGCAATTTTCAAAGAGGGTGTGGTGATTTTCAGGATCTTCAGGTATTTGCACCTGTTAAGAATACCCGATGATGTGAGTTATAATCAGAGAGGTATGTAGTTGTATAACAGATAGATGTAGTCCACCGATACTCAGATGTGAAATATAAATATCAAAGTACCTCTCAAGCTTTTAGACATCATCAAGCAATAGAGAAGAGACCTTAATAATATGATATTATCTTCACGATTCTATTCTACTTTACAGACTTTACTTTACTCTTAGTAGTCATAAATGAAATGAGTGCAATTCGAGCCTTTCTAGACAATCTCCATCTACTGAAATAAATCCCAGTTGATCTAGACAACTCTGAAGTCTATCGGGTTGTTTCTGCCTAACAACTGCCCTCTGCGACCAGCTTCTCCTAAATACCTAGGCCAAACAGTACCCACCTCCTCTCCACTATATATATTTCTCTAAGCTGTCACCCTATCCCTTTATGGGACTCGGGAAATTTATTGCAGGATGCCTCTACCAAATGAGGTCAGAGAAGAGTTTCCTAGCCAGTAACTGCTTCTAGAGAGACCTGGAAACCCTGGACATTTGTCCCTATTGTGAGATAGAACCTGAGGCTTTCCACCATACCATCCTCACCTGACCTTCTTACAAGAGAGCCAGGAACCTCCACCTCTCAGAGGTTGAGGGCCTGAGTGATAAGAAGTCCTTCTGGTCATCACCAGTACTCCTGCGTAGCTTGTCCACTGACATCTCTATGAGCTTGACTGGTTTCTCCTCTGAGATGCCTGTGTTTAGAGATCCTACCTCTATATCAAGGCCCATGAGTGGCCCTGTCTCTTTGTCCAACTCTTCATCCTCAGTTTAGTATAGGAGGGAGAAAGTTCTCCTTATTTGATCTCCTTAGTGATAGGTTTTCTCTTATGTTTAGTTTGAATATTTCCCTTTATATTTACCAGTTTTCCGCTTTGCAATATAGGTTGTTTGCGTTATTTGGAGGCACTAGTTTGGCTTTCTTTCTTTTGGTTTGTTTTGGAATTAAGGTTTTGTTTACGCCATCATTAGTGCTGCATGCGAGTTCTTGTACCTTAACAAAGAATACATGATGATAAAAAGAAATATAAAAAAAATAAAAACAAAAGGGACCTCCGGTACAGACTCCTCATGTAATCACTTAAGTTCATTCCTATACTACAAGTTGAATCAATACTTCATACGTACTTTGCACAATACTACATGTGAAAGAGATCTCACTTACAAGAGGTATTGCAAGTACAATGTTATCCTCACTATTAGAAGTAATAGTGACAATAGGAATTCTCTGAGCTATCGAGGTATCAGGGAAACTGAAGAGGTAAGGTTGTTACTTGTTGAAGAACTAAGTACAGAGCAGTAGAATCATTACAAGCTCAGAGAATATTGTTTGGAACAACAGGCAATCTGGGAGTATGAGGTCCAGGACAGCAGGATGTGACTATATATCAGTGGTAGGTCACAGAAAGGAAATATTTATTTTTTTCTTTTTAAAATTTTTTTTTTTTTTGGGAAATGGTGATTGAACATCGTGATAGGATTTTAAAAGTTGTCAGTGTTGAGTACACAATAATTTTCATCAATGCTTTCTGAACCACCCAGCCTTGCTGGCTGCAACCCACTTACTCCATCTGTCTCATTATCCCTGCTAGCCAAACACCCCCTGCTTGTGGAACATACAAAACTTAGGCGCTGTACCTCATTATTTAAATTGGTACAAGCCGAGCAGGGCCTAAGCTCTTTTTTTTTTTTTTTTTTTTTGGGGGGGGGGGAGGGGCTGAGAGTGATGCCTATATCCTTATAAGGTATCATATCATATGAATTCCCATATGATATGATAAGGTAGATATAGATATAACTTACCTTATGGAACAAAATTTCCAAGATTCGACAAGGATCTCTTACGCCCTAGGAAAGAAAAAAAGCTGGGTTTTGAAATACCTGAGTACATACCCGAGAGTACCGGTAGGCTCATACTGTCTTGCTTTATTAATCATCGAGAAGTGCGGAGGAATTCCCGGTATCTCTGATGGGCGTGTTCTGTCGAACGGGAGAGTGTTGGGTCGGCGATATAACTTTTATCTCTGGATGTCTACGATGGGTTCTACATGGAATTGTTATTTATTCCTAACGGCTGATCCTCGCTTGAGAGAAGCCGGATGGATATACTGTGCTCATACCATCCACTGCTAGGGAGAAACCCCTTTGCTATATATCTCTAATATAAGCCTCATACCTGTAGTAGCCCGTTCCCGAGTGTATTATCCCTTGTATGCACAAGGATGGTTCGGGTCAGGAGAATTTTTATCTGCGAACGAGACTGCGTTAGGTCTTGTGATAACTTTTCTTAGAATTTTGCGTTTGTCGACTAGTTTCACAGAGTACTGTACTCGTACAGTGCCAGTATTTGAGAGGCCTGCTTCCAACAACTGGTGCACGGCGAACTCCCACTGGGCGAGAAGTTTCTAGGGTCGGTTTCCTCGAGGTGGCATCATTCTCATACTTGTGGCCCGGAATGTGCAGTACAGTATATCTTGATTGGCAACCCAAAAATCGATTTCGTGGCTGAAAAGTACAACTGTCCAGTACTAGTACAGGTACCGTATGCTGTTAGTGTATCAAGCCTGCTTATTTGGCCAGCATTGTCTCAACATGATCCTAAGTTAATCCGTTAATCTATAATCGGGTATGCCAATAAGATCGGGAAACTGCTTCTGCTAGCCCCATACAAAGTTCTATGGAGACAAGGTTTATATTTTTTTTTAGCTTCTATGGACACATCCGAGTATAGTACGGTCCTCGTGTTTTTGGTCCAAAAAGGCTATCGCAGTGCTGTACTGTACTGTACCGGTACGAGTAGATAGATCCAGTTTTGCTGGTATTGCCAAGACACCCAATTCAACAAAGCGATTGTTGCAGACGGCCCGAATGCTTAGAGGCGCAGAAGAGTCGCGCCCGATGCCTCAAAGTTCGCCCGTCGACGTCTATTATGCTTTGAGTTAGCCTCCTCTCACCCCCATCGCTCAACCTTCCTCCGCTTCCCTACTCTCGCCGAGCTCTTGAGGATTTCTCACCAAGATATAGTAGGCCACCCCTTCAAACCGAAAAACTTTTACTCTAGGCACATTTTCAACAAACCGAAAGGGCTCTCCCCTTCCGTTAAGCTCAAAACTTTCATCTCCATTCCAATTCGACCTCACCTCGCCTCAACACTACCAACACGCCATCCGAAATGGCATCACCATCACCAAGTCCCCCTTCTCTTTCACCTACTCCTCATCCCAATCAGCTCCCCCCACCAACTGCTCCTCCCCAGAGCAAACGCGATAAACGTAGACACGCCTTGAGCGAAAAGCTCACTGCCCTCACGACATCGTTCCATAATCCTACTAACCCCCTTGTGCGGGACCTACACTACCGAGCACAACTTGCGTCTATCCAGGCTGATATCCATCTAATCACCAAATGCGATGCTTCTGGACGGGATATGCGGCTCTTGGATGATTCGCCGGAGCGTATCCAGGTGCAAGTTGATGAGGAGCTTGAACGGATGGGTTTATCCGACCTAGTTTCTTCTGCCAACGGGGCGAGGGCTGGAGCCGGTCCTGGGGCTGCGGGCAAGGAAGATGCGAGCGGAGTGGGAGTTACGGGAATGGCAGGAAGATGGTATGGACATTTTATTGAGGCTGTGAATGAGGGGATGGAGGAGAGGGATGCTCAACTTTCTCTGCTTCACGTATTTACTCCCTCCTACCTCAGAACATTCTAGTCATCTAACCGACATAGAACAACTATAACCATAAAGTAGCATCCCTAGAATTCCAACACAAGCGCTCAATAGTCCTCGCTAGGAGCGAACACCAATCTCTGACAAACACAATTCAAACTCGTCTAATGGCCCGCTTAAAAACGCAACTTAAAAAGCTCGCCGCAGAGAAAGAATCAACATCCTCAGCAGCCTTATCTTCACTATCCGCCCTTTCAACATCAGTCTACACAGACCTCACAGAAACTAACGCTCTCCTCCTCCACCCTTCTCAATTCGGCATGGTCCCATGTCTCTCCTCGCCCTCCCGCCCTACAGAAGAAGAGAAAGAAACCCGCCGCAAACCCCGCCGTCGCGCGGGCGAAGTTGAAGAACTCCTCTCTTTTGGTGTAGGCATAAACTTTGACCTACCAAGCTCGACCAGCAAGCGCAAGCGTGCCGCCCGTCGTGACAGGGAAGAAATTGAAGAAACCCACACACCGCCCATCCACGAGGCCGCGAGCCCATCCTCTAGTTCGGCGATCATGAACTTTGACCCCTCCTCCTCCTCCCAGCAAAAAATAGACCGTGAAGCCCTCCGCCGCAAGAGGGAAGAACTCCTCAAGCAGGTCTACGCACCAGTCTACTCCTTCGACAAACTCTTCACGGAGAAGGAATTGCAAATGGCCGGGAATCAAGCTTCACTTGCTGCCGTACGGTTTTTTACCGAGAGGCCGCAGATGCATTACGATGATGGGGACTCTGAGGAGGATAATGTGGACCCGGGCATTGTCACTCCGCATCCGGAATTAGAAATCGACGAGGAGGTTACCAACGGGAATTATAATACCAGATCGAATCCGCCCAGGCACACCCGTGAGATTGAAAGTCTTGTGCTCAATGGTGTTCCCGGGTTTGGTACTACATTTGTTAATAAAGCAGGCGTTGCACCGCCGCCACCCGCGCTTCGTAGTGAGGAGGCGGATGCAGATCTTGCCGCCATGAGAGGTGAGGTCGTGAGGAATGGGGATGGTGAGAGGGAGGGGAAGAAAGTGAGGAGGAATTAATAGACTTTTTTTCTTTCCTTTTTTTTATCTGTTTTTTTTTTTTGTTCCTTAAACTTGTGGAATCTATGTTATTCCGTTGTTCTCTTTTTGTATCTTGTGTTTTTCTTTGGTTGGAAGATATGGTAACCGTATGGATGATATGATTGTGGGGTTTTGGCGGGGGAGGTTGTGGGAACTGTATGCTGGTTGGGATTGTTTTTTAGGTTTCTTTCTGTATCATAGGATTTATTTTTATTTTTTCTCGGAATTTACATGGATGATTGAATTTTCGGACTCACCCTTTTACTCTTAACTAATATGAGATGCGGAAGTGAAATTTCTCTCGGCTTGTCGCGGCCTTTGTTTATTAAGCGCTGTTGCACTTATGCAAGTGACTTGGACGATTGGTTATATTGGGCAGAAGTGCTGTGGGGAAGTAACAAGTGTAAGTTACCATTGTTACTATTAAATAATTTTATGCACTTCACAAAGAAATATTAGTACGGTACCGTCCAGGTGCTCAAAATGATTCCGTGTGCGACAACCTATCATGTCACACTGTACCTAGGGCACCAAAAAAAAAAAAAAAAAACACAATAACTATGATATTCCCAAATATAACCCCATCGCGTATCATAATTTCTGAAAAAACATTGTCTTCCAGCCGGGAGGATAGAGGAAATGATTTATATGGGAGATGGATAACTTTTTCAACGCCAATACGAAGTTCACCAAGGCCTATCAAGACCCACCAACAGTACGAATGCTTTGAGGTCTCAGGAAATTTTGGCCCTGCGAATCCGTGAATCCCCGGATCTCCGTCAGCACAAGCTAGTGGCTTGGATAGACGCCCCCCCTCCACATGCTCGAACCCGTCCCAGCCTTGTGCTATTGTGGCGGAATTGGCTCTATATCAGCTTGGGAGTGTGTGCTCATCGCGCGCGAGATTATATTGTAAAGTATTTGATGGTGATGTTTGCTATAATACCATTATCACATATATATGATTGATACCTTTTGAATATTTGGTCGCTTTTTTTAAAAAAACAGAAATTTATTTCTAGTGATTTCAACGGGGTTACAGCTATTTTCTATCATCTAATATTATACTAACCTTTCCTCCGATAGCTTCTAAACAAGAATATTAAATCAACTTTATCAAGCATTGCGTTTTTTTTTTTTTCATGTTTTTTTGCCCCTCTTTGGCATATGCCGTTTCCATCTTTTTTCGCAATGAATTTTCATGGTTACGTGCCTAATAGGGACCAAGAAAGAAAAGTTAAAAGTATAAAAAAAAGAGATAAAAATAAGAGAGAAGAAGAAGAAGAAAGATACTCGAGCTTCCTGAGAGGGAGGAAAGGAGAAAAGAAAAGCATAATCATCCAACTTCCCTTCCTCACACATCAATTCAGCTATTGGCCCGACCCAATCCCAAACGGTTTCAACAGAAACTCCTCAACCGGTTCCATGTCCTCCACCATCTTTAAAACATCCTCCTCGCTCAATTCCTTCGCCAAGTTTTCCTCCCCAACACTCCTGACCACGCCATCCAACTCATCGAGAATGGTCCCCCAGGGGGTGTCCGCCGTGAAGTCTTTACATTCGTTCAGACGGCTCCACCACCCTTTGCTAACGCGACACCAGATGGCCAACCTCACGGGCTCGGGGAGATCGGCCGGGACGCCGCGAATCTTGAGTTCATGGAGCAACCAAGTGACGACTCCGCAGCGCGAGTCCCTTCCGAAACGGCGGATAAGCCCAGACTCTTTAGTCCCGAGACGGCACCCTGCAACCCACTTTTGTAGCCGGTCGTCGGTATGCGAGCCTATTTGCCTAGGGCAGAGCCCAATGCGGTAATGCTCAGGATTCTGATCCCAAAGCCCCGCATCCCTCCACACCCTCTCCGTATCCTCTCCCCAGTACCCGCAATCGCACGGGAGGTGCTTGGAAGACGAATACGGGTTCAACTCCGACACGATGGTAAAGCTGTCAACCGGCGCATTCGAATTGTGTCTGGAGACGCAAACCGGTATCGTGAACACACCCGGCGTATCCGGTTGGGCGATACTCTTCGCCCCGTCCAACGTGCCCGCGCCCAACGGGTCCGCGAGCTCGTAGGGCTCTAATCCCAGCAGGTGAGCGCGGACCGAGGAGGTGATGATGTCGGCGCTTGATACCCCCCATTCTTCCCACTCCTCGGAGCCGAAGGGTACTTCGTTGTGGTGTCTTGCTGCTCGGCCTCGCGCAGTCCACTTGTACATGTAGCAGGCGAGTTCGCCGGCATCTTGGCTGTTACCGATCCCGTGAGTCGCGGCTTCATCGGCGGTGTAGGGGACGCAGGCTTTTAAGCTTTGTGGGCCAGTGTTATCCCGTTTGCAGCTCTGCGCTGGAGCACCACCCTTGCCATCGCCGGGGTTTTTTCGCGTTCTAAGGTCGGCTGTGCAGGTTATGTAGATTTGTTGGGCCTTTAGCGCTGCATTCAGGGTTTTGAAAAAGACATTTTTGGTTATTTGTCTGTTAGAACGTCAGTGGATGCCTGGGGGGGGGGGTTGGGGTTTGCTCACTTTTCGACGTCGGATGCCGCGAAGCTCTTTATGATATGGTCATTTGCCGGGAGGTAGTGTCCTCTTGCAAGGAGAACAGAGAGTGTGGTTTGGCCTGGGTGCAGTGTCAGTTGGTGAAGTGGAATCATGAAGGGTCACTCGGTAAACCTACCCGTTTCAGAGATGTTTTTCGGGTTCATAAGGTCTGCGACACCGGCCTTAAGGCCCTGGCGAGAATTGCTAGTCATCAGTCCAATAGCCATAGCTAGATTGGCTCCGTTGAACTCTGCTTCCCGATCCTGGCCCTCGGGTCCAGCAGTCCACATGTTAATCCCAAGAAGCGCCTCGGGGAGCCAGCCGGTAAACACCGACCATCCCATTTTATACGCATCAACCTTCCTCTGCGAGAGATCCTTATCCCTCTCTTCCTTCCATTTGACAAGGTCATTGAAGCTCTTCGTCTTCTCCTGCCAGTACCCAAGCTTCGTAAATCGCCTGTGGGAAGGCGGGACCATATTCCCACCCTCCTCGGGGTTTTCATTCACACGACGCCTCCACCCATCAGGCGTATACCTATCCATGGCGTTGTAATTCCCCCCACTGGGTGTTTCCCAAACCATGCTATCAACATCCCAAAACTTCTTCTTAACCGGAACCCACTCCTCCCCTTTGTAATTCCACCAGTGCTTATTTTTTTTGCCATATTTATCCCGCCAATACCTGTGCGTACGGTCACCCCGAAGCCCTGTAGCGTGAAGGTAGAAACCGCGTTCTTGGGCCACGGTGCGGATGTTCCTACTGTTCCGCATGGTCCATCCCCACTCTACGTTCAGGATATGTGCGGTTCGCATGAAGAGCCAGGCGATGTGTTCGTCCTCCTTGGCGCGTCGAAGGTCGCTATCATAGGAGTCGAGCTTGGCGGAGAGCTTATCGAGGACTTGCATCCAGGGGAGGAAGGGGGAAAAGATTTTGAAGATGTTTTGGATGCCCATGAGGGTGAAGTGCAGGATCACGGCACGCTTTTGGTCATCTGGCGTTTGCTTCCACCAGAAGAAGGTGTGGGCCATTTTGGGCGCCATGAGGCCGACGTTGCCTTGCGCTGAGTCGAGACCGCTCTGCGATGCACCATTAATATTGCCAATGGCTAAATGGGGAGAGGGGAGGGAAAGGGGAAACAAACATGCACAAGATCTGCCACAGCCGTAAAATGGGATACCGAAGAGAGCACGAAATAAACATTCTTGGCTTCGTGTAAGTCTTCGACTGCCATAACCACATCCTTACACCAGGCAACACATGTCTGGGTCATTCCGATGCCGCATCGAAAGTTCGGCTCACCAAGGTACCTATGTGCAATGCTACCGACAAGTCCGTATCGACGGACCTCGTAGGAGTCTTTATACTTGAGGGTGTAAAGCTCAAGCCATTCCTGGGCATTGCTAAAGATCCAGTTCGATATTTTAAGCTCCCAGGAAGGTGATTTGCAGACTGTCACTGCTTCACCAGGGGTGATAGGGGTTTTGCGGGCGGGAGACTGATTGACTATCGCGAATATGGGTTCGTCGGAGGGGAAGATTGAAGTTGGAAGGGAGAGGCCGGAGGGAAGAGTGGCCCCCGAGGAAGTGGGGGTTGCAGCAACAGCACTGGCCTCAGGCTTGGAGGCGGTTAAGGCTAGGCTGGAGGGTTCCACAGGCGCGGGCGCAGCCTCCACTATTGGAGCGGGTAGGATTCCAATTGTTGTATAATTCGATACCACCGGGATGGCAGCTCTGGCATGCACGGCGGTGTATGAACACAGTGAGAGAGACAGGACGGCCAAGGCCCTGACACAGGGTGCTCGCCGCATTTTGGTAATAGAAAAAGGCTCCAGATCAAGGATTTGGCTCTTGGAGTTTTTGGTAACGCAGCTCTTCGGAGAGGGCCCTGGAGGCGGAACTATGGGCCCGGGTGCTCTTATAAGCCCTCGTAGAGCATACGCATCGATCACGTCGGTGAGCAGGTTTGTACCTTATAGGAAATATTCTGATCCCGATTAGAGAGAAATTTTCCCCGAAAATAGAATCACCTAGGGCCCTAGTAAGTGTTTGTCACATCAATCCCGAGCTTATTTTTGCACTTTCCAGCGGTACACTTGATGGCATGAACCCTCACATGTACCTCAACAGAAGCTTCGCAAAGCACCGGAATACAAAAAAAAGGTTGACCCTACGGTCCTGGATCAACTTGCGGGTGAACCTGTGAATCCCCCTTGCGATATCGTGGGACCGAATATATCCCAGGCCTGTCTCCAAGAAACTATCGATTACGAGTGATACCGGATGAGGCGCTCAATCCTGCCACGTTCTAGAGTACTCTACTCCTCAAACCAATACGGGAAGGCTCGATGAGCACCCAGAGCACACTAGCGAACCGAAAACTCAAGTTGTAATATCGGTGATAAGACCCTGGGGCGTAAGAATAGGGTCTCGGATTGACTCCATGATCTAAGCAGCCGTAACAACAAAGATCATGACAATATGCTCATTCGCGAGCTCAAGAATGAAAGTAGGTAGGCACTGGAACTGGTATCAACCAGAGCGGGTGTTCTTTCCCCATGACCTCAATAAACAAATGGAGAGCTTTCTACTCGCGTCTCTGCGCCAAGAATGGGTACCTCTTTTGGAATAGCACCCCCGAACCCATAAAAACCATGGTGTTCGAGCGGTTCGAAAGACTATGCCAGTGGCGCAAGCTACCGGTGCGGTATCCTGTGCGGGTAATAGTATCACACATATGACAATGGCTCTTGGGAGAAATTGGACTTGCTCCTTTCTGGCAGCAAAATTTCTAAAATCGAACCATTGTTTGGACTACATCAAGGACTCTATGGCGCAACATACTCTTATGGGTAGTAGTGAGGAAATAAAGTAGCATGTAATGCTTGAAAGAGTCATTCGGTGTCAGGGTTGAAGAATATTGCTATCACGGTTGGTAATATTTATTCCAAATCAGGTGCCCATTCTTGGCGCGGAGAACACAAGCGCTCTCTGGAAAATCTTTTTCTCTCGTTCGGGTTGGTTCCCCCGCTAAGGGAGGAAAAGTTCGTAGGCAAAAAGAAGGAAAGCGGGCCGTAGGAAATTTAGTTCGGTGGAGGGGGAGAATTGTTGACAATAAAATGACGATCCTGGGCCTTACCTACAGTGGGTGGAGAAAAAAGGGAATTTCGTCCACACAATCATCTCGCCCCGAATCACTGTTCTGTCAACCTTTTCAATACAGTCAGTACTATACCATGCATTTCACAACGAACCTCTCAGATATGATACCATCTGCCGGGAAATATATCATGCCATCAAGAAAGTGAAAGAGTTACTTCACCTTTTCATCCATCGTGAAGTGGTGAAGAAAAATTCAAAAGATAAAGTGAAAAGAGGAAAGATAAATCTAATGAACTGTTGAAATCTTCTTTTTTTTTTTACACTCAGAAAGGATTTCTGTGTGTTGGTCTGCCCTTGCCTGAAAGTGATGTGTTTTGAGTGGTAAATTGCGCCAAGAATTCTAAGTAAATCACCAAAACCCTTTCCCTAGGTCTCAGTCCATCTTTAAAAAGTATCATATCCAGGAGCTTCAAGTTAGATTTATTTGGATTATTTGAGGGATAAGGGGACTGTGAGTATTTTGCTGTTGTTATGTGAAACCTTGGATAGTGGTCTACCGGTACGTCTCGGTTAAGGATGGTATCCTAAAGGTATGCACAAGAATGCGTGGTGCCGGTTCGTACTGTATGATACTACTGGTATTGTCTCCTGTTCTCGCACTGTGACTGACTGGTGGTGCGCCGCACACCTTTTCGCCAGCAACCCCAATAATGATTAGGCAAGATTTTCTCCTTCCAGAGTGAAATCTTGTGCCCTCGCCGAACAGGATCGTAGTGATGTACTTGTACTGTACCAGTACGATATCCACTCACCATTTTCGAGATTCGATTGAAAGTGATCCGTGGTATGATATGACAAGGACTTACCTATTATTGTTTGTTGACATCTGATCTGTGGAGGGGTTATTGTTTGTTTACCTTCTACTCCAGTGTCCTGGACGTTACCGTGACTACCGACAATAACCACAGAGGCACGAACCTCCCGAAAGTACTAGTACCGGTACACGTACTACCGGTAGTACTGGTACTGAGCAAGACATTCTGAAGTGCAGAGATGCGAGAAAGCAATTATGCGACACGACACTCAATTTCCAGGGCACATTCCCAGCTTGCATAAAAACGTGTCTTGTTGCCGTGGCAACACGTAGATAAGCTCTCCCCCTGCATCTAACCCTGAACCATCAGAGAACCGTAGCGGCGGGCGGGGGAAGGGTGAAAAGAAGAAAAGGAGCCTAACCAAACAAACAATACCGGTACACACTTCTAAACCCCCATCCCTCGGATAATTTATTCTTTATCGTACCTATTTCGCACCCTTCCCCTCTCGGTTTGAAGATTGTTGTTCTGTTACGGAAAGAGGGAAAGAAAGAGAGACAATCAATCAAGAAGTTTGCATCTCATCATGCCTTCGCGATTATCGGCGAGCAACGGCTCGTCTCCAGACCCACTTTCGCAATCGACCGGCCCAACCATCTCCTCTACTCCCCAAACAAAGCGAGGCCCCAAAAGGAGGAGGACTACGGTCATATCGACACCTTCGAAGGTTACCACGACGACCACTAGCTCACCGTGGCGATTCCGTGTTGTTGTTGAGGCTGAGAGGGATGTCGATGAGGACGATGATGTCGATGTGACCTTGTCACGGGGAAGGAAGACACAGACGAGAACTACAACCACAAAGATACCTCTCAGGGGATTGAGTCCTGAACCAGTACGGACAGGACGAGAAAAGAAGAAGTCTACCCCGGCGAGAGCAAGAGCAGGGAGTCGTAGTCCTAGTAAGCCTGCTACGAGGAGATCTCCAGCCGCAGAAAATACACCGGCACCAAAGAAGGCCCCAAGAGCAAGAAGAAAGGCTGCTCCTGTGATACTGGTAGAGGAGGAGGGGTGTGAAGGGAATGGGGCAGAGGAGGAGACTCCAGCACCTCAAATTCGAGAGGTGGGAAAACCAGCTGAGGTGAGAAATATACTTTTTCCTATGGTCATTCGTTACTCTGAAGCAATTGTTTCTTCACCTGGCTATGCGCGCGGACACAAAGGCAATATCGTGAATGTTTCAAAGCCCCTCTTTTTTCTTTCTTAACCCCTTACATTGAGTCCTTCAATCTCGCACAAACTGCCTTTTTCCGAGGATACGCAAGTAACTTTCCTTGGTGTCTATCTCCGTACTGACAAACTTATCCTTAGGTACTGAAGAGATCTCCCCGGAAAGCGAGATCACCCGTCAAGCCTCGAGCGGCTCCAGCTCGCGCTACTCGTCGTAGTAACGCTACTGCCGGCCCCTCCCGTGCGGCAGCAGTGGAAGAGGAGGAGTCGGTTTCAAGCAATCGTAGTGCACTCTCTCGTGTAGACCCGAACACTCTACTTTCCCCTACGCCGCCTGTCATAGAGCCCTCAAAGCGTCTGACGAGGAGGTCTGCGAGAAATATCTCACCTGTTCCTCCCCCTTCTCCCATCCCAGCCGAGCTGGATACTGAGGACGAGGAGGCATCAATTGAGCAGAGTGAGGGGTTCTCACTCATCAGTGCACACAACCTGCTTCCGGACTTTCGTGATTCGTCATCACGTCATCACCAAACCTTACCTACGCAAGACGAGGAAGAAGAGGAGGAGGAGGGCGGAGACGATACCGACGTGGACATGGCATTACCCGACTTTACCTACATCGATACCGGAGCTTCCTACACTCCTCGGGTAGTTAAGAAACAAGGCCTACCCACTGAATCTCCAGAAGGGGAACTATTTGCCGGCGAGGCGGTTGGTATTGAGAGTTTCTATGGCGCACCTATCCCGCCAGGGCTCTTTCGTAGTTCACCTCCGCCAGAGTTTAGTCGAGAAATTAGTAGCCGGGACATGATCACTCCACACATTCCCGGAGCTGAGAAAACACCGCAGCTACCCCCCCGGTTACCCGACGGCGATTCCAGAAAGAAACGGATAAGGGAAACCCCCGGACTAGACAGTATCCTACGGGCGGGGGAAGACCTCCGGAGCTCTATGGGCACGGATAGTTCGCCCGGAATGGAAATGCGAAGTGAGCGCTTTGGTGGGGCTTTGGACGACGATGGCGAGGATGATCAGGTTATGTTGGTGGAGGAGGGTAGTCCGAGTGTTCGGGTTAGAAAAGAAGGGGAATTTAGCGGGGAGGCCATCAAGTATCCCCGTGTGGAGGAAGCCGCTTCTTCCAAGATAGCTACAACCGCTTCTCCTAGCGTGAGCGAGGTGTCTACGAAACGTACCGATCGGAAAGGGAAGGGCAAGGCTAAGGCCGCCGAGAAACGTCGGAGGTCTGATATTGACGATGCGGAATGGGGCCACGCCAAGACTGCTAAGAGTATCCGCCTAAATCGTTCCCCTGCCAAATCACCATCGAAATCTGTTCGATTTCAGTCTGGAGACCAAACACGAATATTGGAGGATATCTGGGCTCGGGAAAGGGAGGAAGTGCGGAAGCAGGCTGAAGAGGTCGGGGCAATCACGATTGACGCATCTCCTTCAAAGACAGTGTTGCTTGAGGAGAAGTGGCAGGAGGAACGGGAAGAGGTTAAGCGGCAGGCGCAGGATGCTGGCGCTATCACTATCGATACTACAATTTGGGAGCAATCTGGAACAGACGAGTCCAGTTTGAGTCTAGCAGGCCAAGATACAAAAGCGTTTGAGGAGAGCATTTACAATCGTATCAGAATGGACGAGGAGGCAGCTCCGGGGAAACTCTTCCCTGCATCGGCAATGAAGAAGTCACGGAACGAGCCGAGTTCAAGTGCTGGCTCAAGTTCAAGTACCGGTCGTAAGTATGGAATCGGAAGTAGCACCATCGGCATCCGTGGTGAAAGCGTCAGCTCCCGTAGCTCTCCCCCACCAACCGCTCCAACAACGATGTACCAACCATCAACACGAGAGCAAGCCATGGCCCAAATTTCCGCCGGCACCACCGCAACTCGCCCGACTACTGCCCCTTCAAACACTCCCAATACAAACTCTTCCAATACATCAAACATGCTCCCTCTAGACCTCATTCAACTCTCGTCTTCAGCACCAAACCCGGAATCATCCGGATGGACCCAAAACCACTGGAAGCTCCTCGAGACAATCCTCCACTCGCGTAAAACCGTCCCCCCGGCATCCTGGAAGCGCAGACTCCTGATATCGGTTGACGACCCGCCGAAATTATCGGCAGATGGCCTGTTGGAGGATGATGACGTCGAAATCGTACAAAGTCGTGAAGGGATGTGGTTGCGTCTTAGCACACGCGAGACTTATGCTGTCACTCGGTTTCTTAGGAAGAAGCAGGTCAAAATGGAGGGATGGGGGGAGAAGGTTGTTGCCGGGAAGGTTGGGGCAATAGTTCTAGCTGCAGTCAGGAGACGCAGGAGGGAGGAGAGGAGGGGCGGGAGGGAGCTGCGGGCTTGAGATAATTCATGCTTTTCTTGTGATTTCTCTATCTATTCTTTCATCTCGATATTTTCTTTTTCCGGGGAGCGAGTAAATGGGTATTGTATGATAGTGGTTTTTGTATTCTACGTTGTTTGCGGGTTGTAACTGTATTATAGTTTCGGATGGGGTTTGCTTTTCTGTGTTGTATTATACCTGCGAATTTTATTTAGGGATGAACCGGTTTTTTTGTGTCCGTCCCCCCGTTTTGATCAAGCGGGCAAGCGGATATGGCTTAGGGGCAAGTCAAAGTATATGGTAGTGCTATGACTGACTACTGCTCAAGCTATAATACTCTTGGGCACTGTGAGGACGAAAATGTGTCAGAGCGGTGTAATAACCCTATTTATGTCTCTTATCCTTTTTTTCTATCCTTTCCGCGCGCGAGAGCATAGACCCTCCGCTCGATCGCCCGCTTGCGTTTGGTCATGCACATGTATGTGTGCGAAGGCCCGGCCGAATTCCTTGCCTTCGCGATTGCTGTGCATCCCGTCTCTCATGGCACGACAATTATTATGATAATTATGATGTTAGGTGGGGGGGGTATTCTGAAGTTGATCAACAATTGGAGTAGAGCGTTGGCGTCCTGGAGGGCATGTGTGCTATGATACTCAAGGAGGTGAAGAAATCGGGAAACGAGAAGGAGACAGAACAGATCCCGAAGGCCAGATTTGGTATCATATGCATTTTGTTGATATCATACCAAAGGAGGAAGACAAAATCCCTCTTATAATATCATATCTTACCCTCCCTTCCAAGACGAGCAAAAACAAGCCAAGACAACAAGCGAAGTCGTGCTTCGAGTATCATAGCCAGGTCACACGAACAAGGGATTACACACAGAGCACTACATGAGCCCCTCCTAAATCCAGATCTCGAAGAAAAAATCCAGGACCGTGAATGAAAGGATCGGTGGATAAGCATACAGTATCATACGATGGGCAGCCCCCCCGACCGAATTATTGTGCCATCATAGCAACATAGCGTCGGGCAACCATCTACAAGTACTATGAGTATAAGTGTGCGCAAGCTTCTGGGATGAATGACATACATATCCTCTAGATTTAAAACCTCCTTTCCTCCTCCTGAGAGGGGAATTCTCCAGGAAATCGATGGGCAAACAATCACCCTTTTCTCGGGATGGGAATACTGGTACTATATATAACGCCGTGCGAGTATTATAGATATATAGATATTTGGATGGATGGGTAGGTATATTCTAGCGAAAACCAATTTGTCCAATTTCAACGGGACTAACTGGTAGTGCAGAGTGTTTAAAAGATCGGTTTTTCCCTCCCGGGTGTGATGAGCATCTGATGGGGGGAACCTCCCAAGGTAGGGTATGTACGGCGCTTATAGTCTTTGTGTTTTTTTTTTCTTTTTCTTTCCCCTGTATCTTTAAGGCGGAGAGGAAGCGAGTGATATGGGTTGGAAAAGCGTTGCTTGGAGAGGACCAAATCTCCGGGTCATCATAAATTGGTTCGCTGATAGCGGATGCTGGAGATCACCGTGGGGGCTGTGCGCTGGCGAGCCTGTGCCGGGAGTCTGTCGTTGAGCCTGGGCTCGTTCGGCGGGAATTGTGTGTCCGGCTTTGGGTCGGGTGCTTGGAGGTGTGAGGGAACCACGGCTAAGATTCGTAGCGAGTGATATCATGTGAGAAACCAGTCTATGATTCTTGAACTCCCGCGCTAAGCTCCCCGCATCCGTAAATACAGGCTCCAAGACCAAGGACAAACTAAATCTGAATCAAGTGAAAAAAAAAGGGAAAACACTCCCATTCAATCAACCCAGCTGAACGCCTAATACCCGATGCCAGATACCCAGCCCGCAAAAAATCCAAGAGCTACAAGTACAAAATCCCAACCCCCCCTTTTCATCTAAAATAGTAGCAAAAACTCACGAATTCCAAAGCGGGCGACAATCCTCCACGTCCCCCTCCCTCCCCAAAAATGTGCGAACCCGGCACTCAGCCTCCACCACGTACTCGGCCAACCAGGCAAACACCCACCTGGGCCCGGTGGTGGCCCACTTCCACTTCCTCACACACCAAAGCCCATTCATGGCCGATTCCCAATTTTGCGTCCACAGAAAACTCTGAGTGCACCACTGCTCAACAACGTATGCAAGCCCAATGCCCAAGAATATGCACGTGGTGAGTGTGCCCAGTAGCCAGCTATTTTCAATGTGGTAGGACTTGTAGTACGGCACGCCTTCAAAGTCGACGTACCCGCCGGCGCCGCCCCACATACTCGACTTGCAACGGCAGCTGTTGTATATGCCGAAAGTCTGCGCCACGATGATGTACACGAGCCAGCAGAAGTTTGTGAACTCGCAGAGGCGCAGGACCCATTGCGCCATTCTCCGTCCGGTGCCCGGGTGTAGGAATGCCCAAGCGGCCATCTCCAGGATCAGGCAACCGGTGGCGTTGAGACCGAAGATCATGTATCCGCCAGAGCGGCAGCCGAGGCCGACGGTGGGCGTATAGTAGCTGACAAAGAAGGCGCCGAGGCTGCAGGAGCAGACCATCAGGAAGGCAGCTACCATCTGCCATACCTCGCTGAGGTCGAATCCCACGAGGCCGGAGTAGGCTCCTGTAGTGGATAGTTCGTCGGTGTTTTCGTATATTGTCGACCAACCACGTCCCATGCCGTGCATGGCCTCCAGCGTTCGGAGGAATGAGTGGGCGACGCCATAATGCCAGCGGACGCGGCCTTGGCCCGCAAACTCTCCGAAAATGTCTGGATCCTCAACTCCCGGGAATATGCTGGGGGTGCGCTCAACGGCCTCGATTTCTCGGAGGTAGTTGTTCAGCTTGGCGCGGACATAGCGCGCATCCATCGGGTTTCTGTCCACGATTGTCGCGGCGATGAGAACCGGCAGCCAGGACATTAGTAGGCCCAGTGCGAGGTTATGGGCGGTTGAGTTCACACCGAGGTCCCCGAAAGCTTTGTTTATCGAGATGCCCATTGCCACCAGAAACCAGGCCAGCGATGCTAGAACTTGGACTGTTCCCCGACGGCGTTCCCGGCGGATGCTTGCGGCGACTCTAGCCCTCATTCGTTGGATTTCGCGCCTCCTATCGAATAGGCCAACTCGAAGGATAGTCTCTATGTGGCGTTCTTGTAGCTGCGTGTAGATATTGAGCTCGTATTGGTTAACCACGCTGAGGAGGTAAAAAGAGTCTCTCAACTCCGCGAAACTGCTTGGTGGTGGGGGGTACTGGTCTTTGTCGACGCTCATGTCAACCATAATAGCGCACTTCCTGGTAACCTTCATGTTCCAGAAAATACACATCATGGAAACGATAGGTGAGCCCACCCACCTGAATACAACAAACATGGTTTGTTTGAAGTTATTGCTCTCGAAGGGGGCCTGCAGAATCAGACCCACCAAAGGGAGCACCCATGTCGTGATTGTATCCGAGGCTTTTTCCCACTCGTAGTATTCTGGTGTTACACCGCAGTACTCCTCGCAGGCGGCAAACGTTACCAGGAATGCTGGATTTTTGCTATTTCGTGCCTGGCCCAGGGGACCTTTCACAGGACCGGTGTAGATATACTCGGATGGAAGGGAACCGTTCTTCGCTAGTTCCTTGATTTTTGCGCCGCATTGTGCAAAGTGGGTTTTCGCAGCTACAGGAACTGGGGTCGAAAGTAGAAGGAGGAGGAATAAAGCGAGTAAGAGAGGTTTTCCTGAGGGCACTAGCCGTAACAGTGAGCGAGGGGTGTCTGTGTTCGGGTGTTGAGGTCCCTGATGCGCGTTTCCCTAAATAAGCGTTGAATTCGCCTTCAATTTTATAGGAAGGTGGTGGCCAAGGCCCAAATGGGGATCGTAGACATGGAGACTCACCCGTGAACACTGACCTTCCAACCGCCCCCGACCCTCCGCCATTGAAAACTGAACGAGGCCCTTGGACTGCTGGTATGTGTACGGCACGAGCACTCTTAGGGCTTATCTAGACCTTCCGGTAAGAATGGCGAATGGCGCCAGTGATCACTCCCGGCCAGGTTTTTCTTCGCCAAGAGAAATGAGAAACGAGAGTGCACGGGTATTTATTGAGACTCGCTCAAATAGTAGTGAATCAGTGATGGTAGCGTAGTGTGCTGCTCTAAAGAGAGTAAGGGAAATACAATGTTTCCAGGGAAAAGAGGGAGTCTAAACTTTTTTATAAAGCTCCAGTTTGTGGCACTCCTTTATTGAGGGGTGCCTGGGATATTTATATTATCCTACCTTCGGGTCCTGTATCTCGAGTCACAGAATTTATTAGGGGTGAAACCAACCAATGGGCCAACTCCTCCCCCCCCTCCCAGCAGATTCCGAGCCGAAGGCCCCAATAAACAACCACGCACAATCGCAGTGCCCCTCCATCCCCCTCATCCCAATACTTGAGTACTGATGATGATATGAAAACCCTCTTATCACGGCCTCTCCCTTGGAGCTGCTTGCCCCAGGCCACAAGCACCCGAAAACGTGTGGGGTATACAGTATAGGCAGTACGGTAGGCATGAAGTTCCTAAACATGGGGATCAAAAGTTTGTATCGCGAATTGTATGTGCGCATCTGAGGGCTCGTACTAAATTCAGACTTAAAAAAAATTTCAGGTAGGAGTACAGTACACGTACTTGTGCCGAGCAGATACTTGTATTTCTTTAGTCCCTGTTTCGGGTACTTCTCGCCCGGGACAGGTACGGAAACTCACTCCAACACATACAAATTGGCTCGCCTCCTGTACCGCGCACCGCTACCAGCAACCAACGATGGGGTCTTATCACTTTTGTGCACCACGGGTACTTTGCTTGTGGGGTGCGGTACTCTTTATGATTTTTGTGTCACTTTCCACAAAGGGTACTTTTCCGTCGCCCCATTTCGACAAATGATCTGTTGAGCCTCATGGATTTCCGATTCCCCCCTATCAAGTGTACTCGTGACGTTGTGACGTTTGTGGAACTTGAAATGACCAGAGCCTCAGAATAGTGCTGAGAACTTGAGGCTGGGATGGTTGTAGCCAAGTTGCGAGAGGAAAAGAGTGAATCTGCCTCGCCGCGCACCGCGTTCGTAATATTATGTCAGCACTATAATCTTGCAACAGACCTATAACTTTTGGAGGACACGAATGCGATCTCTTGGATGATGTGGTATGCGAGGCTAAAGATGGATTGTGAGTGATAGTGGAGGGACGAATTTCCGCCGTGTCATGAGGCACCAGAAGGTTCCTCGATTGCTATTCCATGATATTTACTGTGGTGTCCAGTTTCCCTTCGCTAACCAGAATGCCATCCTCGTGGGCCCCTTTTCTTGCGAGACAGGGAGTACCGGTACGTGCCGGACTATTCTACGATATCAACCCATATACAAGTACTCGTACTTGTATCGTCTTGTTCACCTCAGGGTGCCACCGAACCGATTTTAGGTCTAGCAAGTAACACACATGTACTTGTATCTTTTGGGGGTGCCACTGCAAGGCTGTTTCGCTCGGATGGGTACCGAAACCGGAGTTCACCCGGAATCCCACCGCAGCGATATCGCACCGGAGTACTCGTACTGTAGCAATGCACGACATTCTACCCAGTCCATGACTCGATTGGGGCTAGAATAGGGCCAGGCCCACACTTGTTCCCTGCCTCGGGCCAATTTGGAGCCGTTTGCTCGAGTACCGGTGACATTGTCTATCATAGGAATCTCCGCTCTACAAGTAGTCAAATACTAAATACAGGTAATGTGCGGTGAAAAAATGCTCGTCCTATATGATATTAGGCAAATTTTTGAAAAAGCGCAAATGATACCGGTATGATAAGTCAACAGAAGGGATCTTAGGGGATGCTTTACTGATAGCCTCGGTTCCCCCGCCATGGCGCGAGAAGGGGAGAAGGGTGAAAGCTTCACCCCTGTTCACACCACCGAAATTCATTCCCACATGAAAGCCACAGCTCAAAGTCACATCTTTTTACCGATACTGGGGCAAATACCGGGTTCACACATGGTATGAACCACGGCTGCGAACTCGCCCTTCTCACCCTCTCGCACCGCACCTTACAGAACAAATTTGTGCAACTTTCCCGGGTGGTGAGTTTTACTACAGTACGGTACACAATTGTTTTAGTCACAAACAGTTTGATATAATAGTGGCTGACACAGAATGCAGAATAGGGCTTGCGGCGGCGCCTCAGAAATACCAAGCGTTGAAGTAGTTCCTTATTTGAATTGTTGCATAGAGCTGAAGCACTGCATCCGTCCTGATTGCACGGAGACGGTAAAGGGCCTTTGCACTTTTGGCATTGGATCTATTTGCTGGAAACCCGTGCCGGGCTTGCACGCACGTACCTGTTGCAGGTTCAGGGGAAGTGCTCCTAGAACGATTTAGAGTGGTACCGGTATTCCTGGTGGGCGTGGTGGTGGGAGGGGGACCTTAATTGATCGAAGGTACCGATACTCTACCATAGTATCCTCATGCCAGGCTGCCACTCGCGCCGCATGATACCTGGGGATATTGCTGCCCTCCGTATGGCTGTTTGAAACCGTGGGAGACCTAGATTTAGAATGCGTTAAATGCTAATATCGTGCGCTAGTGCAAGTACAGTTTATTGTTCAATCTTTTTCAAAATACCCCTCCTACTGGTCTACCAATACTCTTTTTATCAAAGGATGGAGTCCATGTAATTAAAGAGGAGCAGATTTTAGGTCGTTTTCCATCCCAAACTTTTCTCTAGAAACTTTGTCGTTGCTATGCCCTTTCATTGTTGGTTTTAGTCGTGGGAGGGTCGATTTCAGACGCCCGACACCGCATTACCGACAAAGGGGTGAAAAACCAACTGGTGGAATCAAGTGCAACTATTTGTGCCTCCACGCCATCTTTGGAATAGCTACTACGGGCCCATAGAAGGGACAAACAGGTGTCAATTCGTGGATCGGAGACACGAGAAATATGATACTATCACGGTGGCTTCGGACCCTACCTGTTGGTGGAGCAAGTTTTTGCACGATAACGTGAGCGGAGTCTCACTGCGGGTAAGGTGGATGGATCATATATGGTGCAATAATTCAGGGCTCGGTTGGATTCGCAATTGGTTGGTTCGACAATGCCTCGACTGGAGTCTTCGGCCAAATGCGCCTTTACAATTGAAAGAGAAAATATTAGCGAGCTGGCTGTTTCTTGGGACTGCTATTGTGATAGATCTCATATTGTACCGGTATTGGGAGTTTGGGATCGTGACTACCGTAGGATGCCCAGAGGTCGAGAGAAAGCTTGAATCGAAGGATAGAGAAGGGTTACCGGTAGAATTGGTACCCCCCGTATGTTACACCACAAAATTGGCGCAGTATGCCTCTAAGGTTACCCATATTTTGGCAGAGGGATGGCGATTGCTTAGTCCGGGGAATTGCAACTCACCAGTGCCTTGCCATTTTTGAACTCCCAGAGAAATGGCTTGTTGCTGTGCTACCGGTACGGTGGTACAGACATCCCGCTTCTAAGTCTTCATGATCTCGGAGGATTCCGGCGCCCTAAGCTGAGAACACTGACAGAATCAATGTCCCGTGGCTGGCCATGTGCCCCTCCTGGTATAGTTGATCCGAATCCAAAAGCATGTTTACGGCTGATAAACACCCGCACGCGGGATGCGAAGGGCTCACTTGGCGTTTTAGTTGTTGTCAATAGGAGAGAGAGACTACCGGTAGGTGAGATATTATGGAAACCGATAACGTGGGATGCTATCATAGCTACATGTAGACATCGTAGAGGCATACCTTAGCCCTAGGTAGTATCGCTTACTCAGAGAGTAGCTTGGGGGAATCATTGATCTGTTTCCCCTTCGAGAATTGATTCATCCTGATATTTTTTATATTACTGGATAGATTTAGCGTCGTGTTGGAGATATGATGATTTGTACTGCGCCAGGGAAGAAGGGGGTATGCGATTGTAGACCGGCCAGCTCATCTCTCCTGCTATCAATTTCGAGGAGTCCGTCAGCGCTGGAATTTTCAACCTCCCTTTTCTTCTCGAAGTGCAGCTTCCCGTAGCCTACCTTTCTTCTTTCAGATGTGGGCCTCACCTGTACTCAGATATGGACCAATCTAAGCCCTAAAGTGGAATGAGGATTTATTTTCCTTCTCCGGGAAAGCCGAGTGACAGACGGCTGACGGCAGATGAGTTTTGAGAAAGCAATAATGGACTAAGCTAGAGCTCAGGAAATCCACATAGGCGTTTTTCCACTGGATCAAATACGGTACCGAACGGCAACCTTTGCGGATATCTCGTAACTCCATTCCGATATCTCTGAACTAGCCGGAAAGACTGGAGTATACCGAAATATAAAAACATAAAGAAATAATCCTTATCCTTCCATAGATCAATCACTCATATCCGTTTTCCTCCGACCATGTCTATTCGGCTCTCCCGCATTCAACACTGTAGTTTTCTGCGTCGGACGGGTCCGTTGCCGGCCGCAGGCGTTGCCGGAGGCTCTCGGCCCTGCCGAACAACAGAAACCACAAGTATGACGAGAGCATGCCAAGCAGCACCTAGCGATCCCCAACAGACATCCGGGAAACTCGGCTTTACCTTCTAGGTAGGGCACCGTCAACATCATGACGATTCGTTGGATACTCTAGGGACTAGGCAGGAATGTTTTAAGTGAGGAGCACCACTTTGGTCTCGGCATTCCTATGGCTTTTCGAACGTTTGGGAACGGCGTGCTACGTACAGGACACCACTGATCCGGAACCTCCGATCCCCCCCCCATGAGCTGAAAAGCGAGGATATAATAGCAGGAGCGGCTACAGGCCCTCCGGCTCGGCCCGAAAATTGCCCGCAAATATACAGTGCAGCCCGGCCAGGTCGGAGTAAGGATAAGCTAGGCTTTGTACTGTACAAGTAGGCCCGGCTTTCCCGAAGC